TATTCTTCATTTCCGAAGCAGGTTGGTAATCTTTAATATATATATTTCTTTTGAATGCGAGAATGTATTATGTACATGCATGGATCGATCATTTCGGAGTAACGTTTGCTTTGTAGTATTGACTATTCTTCTGATGCGTACGGAAGTTGTCATTGCTTTTTTCTTGTCTCTTCTTGCAGCTTACTTAGGTAAAAGCTCTAATCTCAATTTTTGAGTTTCTTTATGTATGTGTATCATTGTGTGCTTATATTTTGTATATATATGAAATGCGTTATATATACTCTTTATTATTTTCTAACAAAAAATATCAATCTCATATCCTCAAGAGATAGTATATTTGGTTGTAGCTATGTTGTTACGCGGCTCCTTAAGGAAGTTGCGTGATTAAGAATAGGAATATTCTACAGAATGGGTTTTCATAGGAGCTGTATAATATTTTTGGTGTAAGGAGCTGTATAATATGATAATTATCACATGTAATTTTTACTGATTAAACTTTCAAGAAAGAAGGTTAGCAAGGAAATAGTATAGCATAGAATGATGGTATTCTCAGAAAAAAGCGAACAACTGATCTGTTTTTCTAGTGAAAACTATATATAGAAAAAAGTATTGTCTTGTAAGCCAGCCTCTGAGAATCATGAACAAGTAACATACATATAATTACAAAATGTAACTACTCGACTCATTAGACAGTAAACAGTATATTACCCAATAGCGTAAGATTGAAATGCATAGATAAAACGAAGAGAAATAAATAAAATAAAAAATGTACTCACGATTCTTCCAGGTCGATCACTTTAATAGGAATTTCTTTGTTGAGGTCCTTATCAAACCTGAAACTTGATAAGCACCAGCGACTCAGCATATAAAATAAGATAGCCTCATAGTTAATAGAGAGTCTTTTATTTCATAAACTAGTCTAGTACTGTTATTGATGTAAACATAGACCCCCAGCTCTTGATTCTTGTAAGAATAATTGAAACCATTCAAACAGAACTGACTCAGTTCATGATCTCAGACTCTCAGTCAAATACAACAATTCGTCCCCAAGGTTAAATCATCTAGAGCGATCCCAGTTTAAGCCCATTTAATGACGTATGTAAAATTATAATCATAACGAGCAATCCCAGTTTAAACAACAGAGAAAATCAGATTGTGTCATTAACCATGTCTCGGAAGAAGTATCATAAGTAGAAACCAACCATAGTGTTCGCCTTAACATATTCCTTTGCATCAATTACTTTCATCTAATTCTTTTAAATCATAATTCTTTGAAAAACATAGCCATTTAGTTAGCATAAAAATAAGATAATAAAATATGGAGCCGTTCAATTTTTTTTTTTCAAATTCAGCAAAAGATAAACTTGTTTGAAAAATCACCATCCCTTAATTCACGTTTGTCAGTAAGTTAACCAGTCAGAATTTCAGACTGACCAGACCAACTCTCTGTTCCTATTTTTCTTATTTTCATAAATCAATCACACTTTCACGCGCGGGTTTCTCATTCCTCTATCTCTTCGGTTGTTTTGTGTAATTGGCGCGCGCTTGGTATCAGACGCGGGATGATGAGAATGCCACTCGTGTCTTCTCACAAACGAGCACGTGCACACGTGACTCCTAGATCTCTTCTTCCTATATATTCTGTTTGTCGTGCTCTCCCTCCTTCTGCGTGCGTGTCACTCAACAGTAGGTCTGGACAATATATCAGAGAACCGATCAACCGATCGGAACCCGATCCGATTAAGTCGGTTTGGATCGGTTTTGGTTCTTCTTAATAAACCAAATGGTTCTTGTTTTGAGTTATAATGGATGTCGGTTCAGATCGGTTTAAAATCCGACCACCGATTGATTACATCCGAAACCCGATCGAGACACAACGTTATGTCTAACCCTAGTCCCTTTTTGTTTTTCACCATTCTATTACACAAAAGATACACCAAAATCCTTTGCAAAAATCTCAACCAAACCTTTCCGAAATCTTCCGTAGATCCGTTTATTCCTTTCGAAAATCCTTTCCATAACCCCGAAATAAAATATTTTTGATGAAATTCTTAATCCATCGATAATGGTGATCTTTTTTTTTGTTTTTTCATTTCAATAATGGTGATCGTTGAATCATTATATTTTAATAAAGTTTTAAAGTTACTTTCACCTTTGTGTCACATATAAGCTTGAGTTTGAATGTGTTTATTTGTCACGACAGTATTCTTTACAACGTTACACGGTGTGACTAAACAGAGGTCTTTTATTACTAATTTGTATCACATCTTCTTTAGTGACTAAACAGAAGTCTTATATCAAGTTTTGTGTTAGTCAAACCGAGTACAAATTAGTGATTAAGAACCGAACAACTGTTTAAGAACCGAAACCTGTACATATTTTGGATTCAACCAGTTTTAGCCAAAGTTTCGAAATCTAAACCGAACCCGATGAAATCTGAATCAATACCGAACCAAAATTTTATAATATACGAATGAGGTTGATTTTTGTAAACCCGAAACCCGAATAGATGCAAACCGAAACCCGATTGCCCATGCCTACTCAACAATAAAATGAAATCTTGGTCTAAAACTAAAGGATTTATTCGTGAAATAACAAAAAATGGATTAGATTTATAATACGGCAGAAAGAGACGTTTTAACTATTTAGTGAATTATAGTTTTTTTAGGTTATACAACCTAATTTTCTAAAAACATAATCTCAATTTTGATGACAACAAAATAAGAATCTTCAGTTTTTAATAGAAAATATAAAAAGAGAAAACATACTTTAATAAACAAATTAGGATGTACGAAATTTTAAAAATTATAAAAAGATAAATAAAATAATTTTATTGAAACCTCTAAACTTTTTTTAAGAAAGACTCCTTCATTTTAAAATAGAGGAAGTAGCTGTTTAGTTCTATGATTCTATCACTATGTATATAATTATATTTTTACATAATTAGTTTATAGAGAAAATGAAAACATAGTATCACTACACTTACATACACAAAGTATAGTATATTTTAATGTGGAAAATGTCGACTGATCAACTATACTTTAATTGAAACTTAAATCATAACATTACCAACAGTTTATCCACTCCAAACCCTATGATCACCTTCTTTCAGAAAAGCAACAATAATTAATTATGAAATCATTTGTCATAAATATAATATTAATTAATTATTTTTATCTACGGTTGATAATTGGATTCCATATAAAACGAATTAAATGATTTGATCACGGGTATATTCTTCACACATCTTTGACTTGCTTGGCTTAAGAGATGACAAAAACTTTTTCATGTAAAACTTTAACCTTGTGTTCAATTGGTTACTTTCCAATTTTGATAATTATATGTTTATTTATGGCTATACCAACCCCAAGAAATTCGTATCTTGTTTCCTGTTTGACTCGGAGGGCTTAGGTGACAAACCAGAGCATCATAGCCACCAGGAACAGAGCAAATCTGAGGGTCAAGCTAATCCGAGTGAGTTCTTGAGCCTTGATAGTCACCACAGCATCATAGCCACCAGGGACTTAGTTTTCTTCTCGGATAGTGTAGGACACGTTTACTAGTTAATGTGTCATGTTTCGACAGGTGCTCGTAATGGCACCTACTACAGACCAAGCTTGTCCATTGTATGAGGCCATTTCTAAATGTTTTTCACTGCCTCACTGAAACTAGTTGGGTCATAAGAGATCAGGCCCAGCTTATGAAGCAAAGCTGGCAAATGAACCGGATCCTAATGGCGATGATCAATGAAGCTTACCAGTGCTGTGGCTACTAAGGAAGGCATTGACAGTGGAAGGAAACACGTTACACGGCACAAACCACCCGTTGGGTTCTGTAGCTATAGTTAGCTGACTTGATCGGTCTAGACATGTGCTATTCGATAGTGAAAGTGCAGCAACATAGGGGACTTGGGGAGTCAAAATACGCACCTTGGACTTGCGTAGATATGAAATATGACGAAGATATTTAGAAGATAATGATGAAAATCATCACATGATAACTTGTATATATAAGTTGATGATGCAAGGAATAATTAGTCAAATAGCTAAAGACAAATCTCTCTCGACAAAACAAAAATAGCAAAAGACAAATTTTAATAACTTGCAATTGCAATTTCTGATATTATTATTTTTATTATATACTTTTGTAATTAAACTGTACGTTGGTTTATATATATATATATATAACTGACGAGCATCTTCTTATCTTTGACTTCCCTCATATTCTTCATTTTATTTTATACTATATAAATTTTGAATTGACACATTCTTCGTAACACAGTAAAACGAAGCAAGGATTAAAAAGTAGAGTTAAAAAAACGAAAATTACAATGGCAGTAAAACTTATTAACATTCTCTCCTCCAAGAACTTTAATCCTCCGGCGACGCTGATACTCTCGGAGAAGTCACCGGAAACAACGGCAGAAGCTGCGGCTCCGACTCTCTCGGCGTAGTAATCGGCGACCGATGCAAGTAATAACCCTTTTCAGAAATCGCTCTCTCTTCCTCCGACAATGGCGACATATCGCTGTCGTGTCCGTCGCCACCGTTTTTCAGGGTCGTGACAGGACTGTTCAGTGCCAGCTTCGGGAAGTCAAGACAGCTAGGCGACAAAATCTCCTGGTTTCTAGGGCTTCCAACACCGTTTCCACCACCGATCATGAGTGTATTGATCATGAGACTGTTCTTGAGGCTGTTGCTGTGAGATCTTCTCTCGTAGAGTTTGTTACCTGAATGTTTCTTCGGTTGTGTTGTTTTGATCGGTGGAATCACGAAGTTACTTTTGCCGGAAGGAGACACCGGAGGACGCGGCGAGTCTGGGGATCTTGGAGAGGAGGTGCCTGTGAGCATCTGGACGACTTGTTTGAAAGAAGAAGTGTCTGCCTGAACAAAAGTTGTCGGGTAATGATCAGATCTAGTTATGATGTGTTGATGTAAAGATGAAGCTGATGATGAAGTAGTGGAAGATGGGGTTCTTGAATCTCCTTGTTTTGTTGCAATCTCCATTGATGTTTTGTCCTTTTTGAAAAGTTTTAATGTGTGAGTTTGAGTGAAAGAGAAGAAGATGATGATGATGGAATTTAATGGATGTCTCCTCGTAAGGTTTTGGGATTATAAAAGAAGTTGGATTGGTTGTTTTATTTTATTTTGGAATCTTTCTTTATGGAAAAATAAAACTATTGAAATAAAATATGCAGACAAATTAAAGTTGACATGAAGATTTGTGCCCAGGGAATCAAAAGATGTTTTTATTAGGCAATTTTTTAAAATTCTTACTTTGAATTTGTCTGCCATAGTGCATAAAGAAATTGCAAATTAAAATGAATGAGTGAACTTCTAATCTATTAAAATAGAGTCATTCTTTTTATCTACTGATACAAGTTGTCATTTAAATTTGGATCCCTTCTAGAGTATTACAAATAATACAAGTCATATAGTTGACTAAACCGCATTACTTAAATTAAACCGACGGTTATTTATGGAATAGAGTTTTGGGCTTACTTTTGTTTTATAATAAATTATATAGTTTGGTTTTTGGGCTTAGTATTAAAGAAAACTCAAACAGAATATTGAATAAACTTTTCACTTTAATGGATCAAAAAATCAATTACTATTTTCAGACCCAAAAATATTTAATATTTTAACAAAACAAAAGTATCTATTATTAATCATTTATTTAAATCATATACTTTAAAACATGTTAATATTTTTTTTATTTTAAATAACAATCACTTTGTCTTGATAAATCTCAATGGTAACTTTTAAATAGTTTATATTTATTTTTTAAATAATTTACTGATTTTAAAAAAATGTAAAGCAAAACTAAAATCCAAATCTAAAAAATAAAATCCAAACCAAAAGCTGAAAATGCATGTTATAGTTTTACTTTTGTTTATTTACAAAATAAACTATTGCAATTTTTTTAAATTAACACAGCGGATCTAAAAATTAAAAACTCAAACCAAAAGCTGAAAATCAAAAATAGAAACTTAAAAACTAAAAACTAAAAAACCAAATCTAAAAATAAAAATTAAAACTAAAAACTAATGAAAAACAATCATCACTACAAATTTTGGTGAAGTGATTTTATACCAAAACATTTTTTTTTTAAATTAAGACAAAAATCAATTATATAAATTTTTAATCATAAAAAATTTCCGCACTTTCAAGCGCGGGTCAAAATCGCGCTTGAAAATTTTTTATGTTTATTTTTCTTAAATAATTTTCTTGATTTAAAAAAACAAATGTAAAGTAAAACTAAAAACTAAATCTAAAAATTAAAATCCAAAACCAAAAGCTGAAAACGTAGATTATATTTTTATTTTTGTTTCTTTACAAAATAAACTATTGCAATATTTTTTTAAAAAATTGTCATCTTTTCAATTTTAAATTAGATGTTCGATTCTTTGGGATTTATTTGTTGGTAATTATGAGTTCAAACTAACTCAGCAGATTTAAAAGCTAAAAACCAAACCAAAATCTGAAAATCAAAAATAGAAACTTAAAAACTAAAAACCAAAAACCAAAAACTAAAATCTAAAACCAAATCTAAAAATCAAAACTGAAACTAAAACTAATGCAAAACAATCATTACCACAAATTTTGGATTACTGATTTTATACCAAAATATATTTTAAATAAAGACAAATCCCAATTATATAAACTTTTAATCATAAATAATTTCCGCGCTTTTAAACGCGGCTCAAAATCTAGTTGTCTTTATTAGGCTCTGTTAATATTGAAATCATTTTATACATTATTCAGAGAAGGTTTGCATGTAGAAATCCAAAACTTTATCCAACGACTAATTATATTTGATATATACTCGAGAGTTTTAATCAAGATGAAATAAAGTTGACAACATATATAAATGCCTTTTCTTTTTGCCAAGAAAAATATTCAATGTAAATCATATCTTTATGTTACATACACATATTTGAATATATAGGATTATCGTATTTGGGAAATGTTCGAAATAGACCAATCAAAGCCGTACACATACACCTGTGTTGTGTTTGTACATAATGTATGCGTGTGGGTATGACATCGACGTATCAAATTTTCATATGTGATTACAAACGAAAGAAACTTCATATGGATGTGTCTTACTTTTTCATACAAAAATTACAGGTAGATAAAATATAGGCATATATTATAAGTTCAAAATAAATAATGTAAATAATGAATTAGTCGAATATGCTTGTTATTTTTCTATCTTACGACTCGTTCACGGAGTAGACTTTTGTAGTTTTGTTAAAACAAAATTAAAGAAAACTCTTATTAATTTCCACTAGAATAAGTCTAGTCAATGTTTATTTCCTAATTTGAACAAAAATCTTTTGTGTAAGTTACATATTAGACTAGCTCCTATTAGAAACGAAGAAAAAGAAAGATGCGATAGCCGATAGGTGTGCATGTATTGAGACGCAAACCCTAATCACGAATATCTAAATTTAAAGCCCTCTGACCATCAGGACATTTGTATGCCTGGGATTGGCTGGTTTTCCCTTAGGTGAACGAGCAATTCTCATATTAGTCTACCTCTACTAACTCTAAATTAATTTATAATTAACTTCAGGTTGGCCAGTCCAAATTTAATTAGGATAAATAAGTAGTATATTTGTAATATGATGAAGCATAATATAGGTTGATGAAAAATAGTATATGCCATGAAAAATAGTATATGACCAAAAGGGCTTCAAGAAGTTCAGATGTTGCGATACACCGATTTAATTAGTTTCCAATAAAACTTGTTCGCTTCTTTAATATGCTTGCTTAATTAATTAGTTAAAACGATTATGTTGATGATGAAAAAAAGTGATCTTTGATCTACTTTAATCTTTAATATGCTTGAGTAGCTAGATAAGCAAATTAATGATGGCAATAGAAGAAGAAAAATTTGGGATCATATAAAGATACATTCTTGGTTTAATGTAAGAAGATCATATTTTATGGTAGGATGTGGTTGAAAGTCAATCGCAATAATAAGATGGTGAGACGATGACTATTAACTAGTATTATCTATGAATGCAAGAGGAACAAACTCATGTAAATAACTAAATACCACTAAAGAAGGGACTGGATCTTTACTGCCTAACCCATAGTTTTTATTTTAAATTGCATGATCATGGTTGGTTTTCCACCTTCTTTCCTTTTACTTATTTTGGTTGCTAGTGTGCTAGGGAATATATTCATAATACTTCAAATTGAATTTCTATTAACTATATTAATTAACCTAACGATGCTTATATTAGTGGTTACGAAATGCTTTCTTGTCATAATCATTAGGTTCTGTCAAATTATACATATTTTGAAGCTAGTATTAAATCATCATCACATTATATTCAAGCCATATATGTTCCCATTTTTACCTAAATCCTGCTACGAAAGAATGACAGACGAGTTTGACTATACATAAATGATTCTGATCTTCTTCTTCTTCTTTTTTTTTTTGGTCCGAGTTCTGATTATCTTATATGATAGATGTTTGATGATGTTTATTTTTGCATTCTTTACTGCAACAAAAAAAAAGATTCGAGTACAAGTGTACACCACCAATTTTAATCGTCTGTTAAAACGAAAAAAAAATCACAGTTGATTTTCCCATGGCCAACAGCTTCCTAGGTTCGACAATTAAAGTTCAAACATTAACAAACGAATACGCAAAACAAATTCTCGCATCTACTCAGATATTAAAGACCAACGACGACATTCTTGTAATTGTTTATATAAGCTTGGTATTACCAAGAAGCAAGTCGTTTCTATATGGGCCAATCTGACCCATTAGGATATTTTCTAGAACCACCAGTGGATATAAGGCGTGACCTCTCTGCCTTTCTATAACGTGAATAATCTAATAGTACTAGTATTATTGATATCATTCAGTGAGAAAATAAACAAAAATCCTCAACATATAGAGGTATAGCCGTATAGAGTATAGCCTGACTATATAGGCTATTGACTGTCTAAGCTAAAATGCCGTGTGGGTAAGTCTTGGAATATATTTTCTGCATAGTAATGAAATTGGTTTAAAAAAAGAAATGGTTCTACGTTAAATAGTTATCAACGATGGTTGTACTGTTCGTGCCAAATGGAATGTCTACCGGCTCTTCGAAGGTCACGTTCAACGTTTAGCGAGTAGTCAACGTAAATCTCCAAGTAAAAGTAATGAAACATTGGAAGTGAGACGTGAACGCGTTATGCAAGCAAGCATGATGGGCATGTGACTCTTACCGAGTGTCGTGGCACACCTACCGTCTCCACACGTGGAGGTTTGCGTAGGTTTGGGTGTGAGACAACACATGCATGAACTGCATGACTTCTCAAGTTCTCAGCATAGCAGTAAAATGTGTTATATATTGTCTAAGTACAGAAGAAATCTTATATCAAATAATAAACTAGGAACAAAATGTGACATTTTGGTTTTAGTAGAAGGGTGGAGCTAATCTCGTGACACTCGATTGGTTAATGAACAGACTTACTTCATTCAGAAGACTTATTTTCACAATAAAGACATGTATGCATGTTAAAACATAATATTTTATAAAAAAATATGGCAAAAAAATGATGAGATAAAAAGATTAAAAAATGATGAGATGCTGTTGAGAAAGTGTGTAACAAAAAAGCTTAACTAAAGTAACATATCTCAAAATTAAACACCAAACAAACCCTCATGAGTTTCACCAAGTTTCTATTTATCTCAAGCTTTATAATCGTTAACCAAAAGAATGAAAGCAATAGTTTGCTCAATACGGCTACTAAAAAGCTGTAACAATGATGAGGACGGTAGCAAAAAGATAGTTGTAGGTTAAGGTATTGCATTTTTCTTTTCTTTCCACCTTCCGTTACAATTAGACAGCAAATATCACTTGCTTTTGCCTAGTTTTAAGGAGTTTTATAAACAGTTTAATAAGTATATATACTTCAAATCTAGAGTCCATGATACTCTTATGGCACTATAAATACACATTTCCTTATATTCCACGTTACCAACTTACCATCTGTTTCTTTTGTGTCACCTTAACAAATGGTCATTAAGATCCCTTCTTTGACGTTCATTAAACTCACGCCACTCATCTCCTTAATCCTCTATGTCATCATAACCACAACGTCTAATTCTCATTCGGTTGTAGCCGAAGAATTTACCAATGAAGAAGACCCGGAGTTCTACATTCTTGACGAAACCCACACAATACTTTCGAATCTAACAGCATCATCCAAAACCCGACTACTAGTTTCCCACCACAAAAAGATCAGAAAAGGGATGAGATGTCATGTCGCAGGTCGTCACAACATTTGCAATGGCGTAAAAGCGGACAAGGGGACGAGTTTGTTGTATTGTTGCAAGAAGCACTGTCGGAATATCTTAGGTGACAAGAATAATTGTGGACGGTGTAGTCACAAATGCAGATTCGGGCAACGATGTTGCGGAGGCGTATGCACCTACGTTGGGTTTAATTCTGAGCATTGTGGTAAATGCAATAGAAAATGTAAAACTGGGGCTAAATGCGAGTATGGATATTGTGGGTACGCTTGATTTTTAGAGTATGAAAATAATTGGAAGGTTATGTGATAATTTGAAGAGTGTTGTAAAAAAAAAATAGAGATTTCGTTACTAGATTTATATGCATACGTAAATATCATATGATTCTGTGTGAATATTATATAAACATAAGTAATTAAAATCAAATTATTATTAAGGGTAGTGATCAATCATTAGTCAAAATTATAAAAACATCACAAAATAATAAAAATTACCTAAAATTATGGAGACTATAACACATAAACAAGTTTACTTCTTACATAACTGTACAAATAGATAATAGTTTAATAAAATAATTAATTTATGGTTACTTATTTATTAATTCAATTTTAATTTATGATTAATTAATATAAACTATTTTAGATAATGATAGTTTATATTAATTAATCATAAATTAAAATGCTAAATTTGATAGTTCAACGAGATGACAAATACTAATTTTAATTACGACATTTTGTAGTGAATATTATGTAAACATAAGTAATAAGTAATTATGTAAACAATGATAAATTTTAATTTATGATTAACTAATATAAACTATCATTATCTAAAATAGTTTATATTAATTAATCATAAATTAAAATTGAAATAATAAATAAGTAACCATAAATTAATTATTTTATTAAACTATTATCTATATGTACGGTTATATAAGAAGTAAACTTGCTTATGTGTTATAGTCTCCATAATTTTAGGCAATTTTTATTATTTGTGATGTTCTTATAATTTTGACTAATGATTAATTACTATCCTTAATAATAATTTGATTTATTAATTATAACTAATCATAAACTAAAAACAAATTAATATATTGAATTATTATTTTTTATCTATTAAAAAATCATTTCTAAAAAAATTAATATTTAATTTATTACAAAATATTTCAAAAACATTAGTGTTTTAAGTTGATGTTACGTGAAAAAAATTTATATTACGATAAAAAATCTTATATATAAAGAGTTTATTGTTTAATTTTATTAAAAATTCGAATGTATGAATATTGATTTAGTTTGATTGTATTTGAACTGATCATAATGTATTTACTTTAAAATATTTGTAAAATCAAAATTTTATGAAATTCAAGAGTAACGAAACTGTTAAAAGATAGCCTGTGTGTTTGGAATTATTGAGATTTTCATATATTCGATACCCTAACTGTATTTCCTTTTCTTTTCTTTTTTGTTTGTTTGTTTTGAAAAGGAATATTTCCTTTTCTTTTGATAGAAGATAATTGCGATTTCCTTTTTTCAATATATTAATAAAAAAAAACAGATTTGGTATATTAATTTCCAAAAAACAGATTTTATTCCTCAGTTCTAATGAGTTTAGGTTTTTTCTTTTCTGCTTCTTTCGTCCTGTAAAATCATATTTACAAAACGATCCATGTTACTACTGTCTGTAATTCAAGTTCTTCTTTATTTGCTTTTCCTTGAACTTTTGCTTGGAATCTATTTAAACAGATCTTTTGCGAAACGAAGACAGAAAATTCGCAAGATCAATCCAGAGACAATGACCATGAACGTGTTATCGTCACCATCTCATTCTAACTGTGGTCATTGGTACGTTCGTCACGGTATCTGTCTCACCTGTAAAAAGAAGCCAAGCCATGCCGAATCCCTACCATTCGATTATCTTTTCTCCGGTTTACGTCTAAGCCAAGAAGCTGTATCCTATACAAAGCGTCTCACAACCCTAATCTCACTTCACACACACAAGAAGCTTTACTTAGTCCTTGACTTGGACCACACGCTAGTACACAGCGTTAAGGTTTCAAAACTTTCTGAAGCAGAGAAGTACCTAATAGAAGGTGAGCAACCACAAGGTTTGAAGCTATATGAAAGCAGGATAGTTAAAGTTAGACCTTTTGTCAAAGACTTTCTTAAAGAAGCCAACAAGCTATTCAACATGTATGTTTACACAAAAGGTGATTTTCTCTATGGTAAAAAAATTGTGAAGTTAATTGATCCAAACAAAACCTATTTTGAAGACCGAGTGATAACCAGAAGAGAGAGTCCTGATCACAATAAGACACTTGATCATGTATTGGCTGATGAGCGTGGAATCGTGATTGTGGATGATACTGTTGCTGTTTGGCCTCATCACATGAGAAACTTGTTGAATATCACTAAGTACTTCTACTTCAAAAAGGACGGTATTAACAAAGTGTCGTACGCAGAGAGGAAGAGAGACGAGAGTAGAAGTAATGGAGCATTAGCCAATCTTCTGAAGTATCTCAAGGTAATTCACAGTGAATTTTTTAGCTGTGAAGTCAAAGAAGAGTTAGATACAAAGGACGTTAGGTTGTTGATAAAGGGTCCTTTCAAGCCATATGGATGTTGATTTCTCCCGTTTCATATTTGATTCGTTTATCTTTTAGTTTTTAAGTTTTTTTTGGAACTGATGTAACGTGACAGAAATTGAGTTTTTGCTTATATTGATTACAGTTTTTAAGAGTTGTAATCAGTCAAGAGACTTGACTGTAACTATAATGTGATTTAGTCCACAAGGGTTCACTTAAAAGACAGCTTGATGTTCAGAAGCTCCTACCAACAATTAGAATGTTACTTGTTGTTTTTCAGACCGCTCTCTAAAACAGACATGATTAAGTAACATCTAAGGTTATGAAGCTAAGAACCTTCACTCACCATACCTTTCTCTCTTCGATTAGGTAATCTGCATTTTAAGATTAAACATGCTATATATTTTCTAGTGGATGTACCGAACCAGCTAAGGATAACTTTAACCTATATTGACAAAAAAAATGTCTGGTTTGATTTACAAAAAAGAAAGCCTAAAATATAGATATTGAAAATCAAGGATCAGTTTAGTTGAAATATATTAGTTCATGTTAAGCTTCCGAGTTATTACTTATTAGAGGCCCATTGTGACTCAAGCACTGATCTCGTGATCAGTCCATGTGGCTGGTGAAATAGTTAAGCGCGTTATTTGTTACCACCGACGTAACGTAATGACCTCAACATAGATCAACCTTTTGGCTAATTACAAGTTTACAACAACGTAAAGTCGTATTTCATATGTGAAAGCAAAATCTTGTAAAGAGTCTTTGCTATGGTGGTCCCCACTTGAAAAATGATGGCTAGCAATGACTCTCGTGAATGCAAATTTTATTAAAAAGTTGCACTATGTTTTATCTCTTACATCGTGTGTTTTAACAAGTTGCATCTGTTAACAAGTTTATATACTGAAATCTATAGTCTTCTATTTTCGCATCCATACAGACGTGTCTTTTAAAATTCATACATACAAAAACACCCCATATTCCTTTGCTAAATGTGAAGAGGAGTTTGTGTTTCAGTTCAAAAAAAAAAGAGGAGTTTGTGAAAATCAATATAAAAACTTATGGAAAACAACAACTAAATACATAACTCCAGTTGATTCTCGGGTCGTAACGCACATCTTTGTCTTACTTGCGTAACGAGAATGTTTTTGGAACACTAATGCTTTTGCTTCATATATTGTAAATGTACTTGTTTAGAAACTAGAATTTGAATGTTTAAACCACATTCAAGGGATTGTGGAAGAGAGGTGCAAGGAGCCACGTTTTTTAAAAAACAAATTTGTGCACAATTTTGATTTTTTTTAAAAGAAATATGGAAACAAAATATTTTCATGGAAACAAAATATTTTCATGGAAACAAAATATTTCCAAATAGTTTCAAAAATCCACTTTCCATATTTTTGGAACTGTTTATACTTATTCTACTATATGTAAAATACAGTTAACCAATTAAAAATTGATTTTTACAGCTTTTAAATTTGAAGTAATGTGTAGATTGTAGATTTTGCATATTTTAGAATTGTAGGCTAAACACATAATCTGTATTCTAAATATTTTTAGATAACTTGTTTCCGTAAATCATATATTCTAAATGTTTTTAGATAACTGTTATTTCTATAGATCATGTATTCAAAATAGATCTAATGAAAGATGTGGATTTTTATTTTCCACTTTGTAGAACCAAAAAAAATAGCTCTTAACTGGTGTAGAACCAAAAAAAATAGCTCTTAACTGGTGTAAGTATTTACAATGCAGTTTTTATTTTTCCTAATTTTTTGGTTTCTAAAACTATTTATTTAGTTTATTTTTAAAAATATAAAAAGATATTATAGGTAAAAATGGACCAAATTTAAATTAGCCTAATATATTGTGCTTCGGTTTAGTTATCATTTAGTTCATTCTTTTTTGATGAAATTTGAAATTTATTGATCTATCAGTAAAAACGTAATATGTACACGAGTCAAATCATATATATAATGAGACACTTTTACTCTCTAATTAGGGTGTCCACGTCAGCACTTCCATCATTTAAGTGGGACCCACAAAGCCTAAATAAATTTTTAATATCATCGGCAAAGAAAAATTGTTAATCATGTATTGTCCTTTTAAGAAACTCAACAGCCCATAAGAGCATCTCCAATGGTGTTACCACAATTGGAGTCCTTAGCCTTACTTTTATTTTTGAAATAGTTAAGGATTCTTGTCAAAAGTATTTGTCCAATGGTGTTAACCAATTAGAAGTCCTTAGGAATAAAAAAAAAATATAAAACATGTGAAATTTAAATTTTTGTGTGTTCACTTGCTATCTTGTGCTAACCTCTCCTTGATGAACTCCTGATCTATGAGTATCGGCGACAGAGGAATGTACCTGTTTTCCCATTTACAATCCCAGTTATATATCACCAGACCAACAGCTTTTCATATCGAAACAAAGGGTATAAAAGAAGAACCAACATACTTGTCCGTTGCTAGCTCGACTCTCTCACCAGCAGCCAAGAGAACAGACACCCAAGTTAATTTCTTGCTACATGCATTCGTCTCCTGTTCAGTTTATCCATGCATAAAACAGAACATTACTAATTCTAACATAAGTTGATTGGCTGTTCGAAATCTTTCAAAGACGCAAGTTAAAGAGCTAAGTCTGGTGGTTACATAGAGCATATAAGTATCATATTTATTTTACATCACTTAAGCTCCTTGATTCTAAGTTATTTAAAAGACTTAAAGCTGTACCCATTTTTTCTACTCTTTCCTTCATCCTGCAACCAAAACGTACAAAATCATTGGATTCTTCAGACCAAATCAGAATTAGACTTCTCAACCGGATTCAACAAATAAGAGATTATGTCCCTGCTCTGATTTGTCCCAAGAAATTTTTACTCTAAACATTAAAAAGCCTTCTACAAGGTTCTCACTTCTCAGGTTCTGGACAGTACTGTAAATTTTAATCCAACACATACCATTTATAAGCTAAATAAACAGAGACTGTGTCAACTAAAGATGAGAGACCATACCTTCAGGTTCTTTTGCGTTTCAGAGGCTTCATATAGTTGGAATTGAAACTAATCACTTCCTTTAGTGTTGCTTTCCTTCCTGCTTTGAAATTCCAAAGTTCTGGGGTGCTGTATCGACCACTTGCATTATACTCATTCAATTCCTCGAGAGCTGTTTTAACAGCGTTGTGCACCTCTTCTCCCCACTCGGCTTTAAGCTTCTTCAGCTTCTCATCCTCTTCGTCTACCACTTCCTGTAACCAAACACCATTACTGCTGACTACAAAACAGTTATGCCAAACACATATGGATAAAAGTACCAACATTCAAAGCATCACTGGTTTCTCCTACATATTCATCTAAAAATGGCTGCAGATTCATATCAGATGAGCCGAAATCCAGAATGAGGGTATCCTGTTCTGTCTGTATAAATGCGAAAGGTTCTTCACTTCCATTGCTGCAGAATCAAGACAACAACAGAAACAACCACATGTTAATACTATGTGAAATTGATTTGAAAGTCGGAAACTTTAAGAGGCCCATATAAGAAGAACACATCACAATTGAACAATCAATATTGAATATGGAAAGAAAAGAAAAGGAGGAACCTTTGATCGAAGCAAAGGACAGCGAGGAAATCGTCGTCGTCTTCGTCTTTGAGAATCTGTGAAATCTCAAAAAAGACGCCACGTGAACAAGGACCCCCTGATTTTAATCCTTAATTAAGGATTCATCCTTAGCTTATTTAGGTTTTATATTAATATTATATTCAATTTTACTAAGGATTATGTCCTAAGTACTCTACATAATCCTCCGTTGCAGATGGTCTAACAATATAAATAAGTCCAATGAGTCTCCCTTCTGATGAGTAATTGTTACTCTCTGAACCGTTGCAATCAGTATCACGTTACCACTAATCTCTTTATATCCCATATGTCTCAGTCTCCTCTTCTTTAATCCTTACATCAAAACCTCAAGCGTTGCCGTTTACTGGGATCCCTATAAATATTTGAGGCTAGAGAGGGATTCCAACATCTCATACCCGCATTCTGAGTTTCTCTTCTCTCAATATTTATGTTAGAAACTAGAATTTTAAGGAAGAGAGTGGATGCCTAAGTATCTTATCGTATCTGTTTATGTTCCTTACTATAGTGTCTTTGCCATATATAACCTTTTAATTAAATTAGTTGTAGTACATGTAACTGTAGGTTTGGTGTAGAGTTCCCAGCGCTGGAAGTGAGGTTCAGTAACCTCTCTGATGAAGCAGAATGGGAAATTGTGAGGCTTGTGTCTCTTGGGCCACCTAATGGGCTCCTTTGTTGATTTCGGGTTTGGACCTGGAAAACCAAGACATAAAGTGATTAGTCTAAAAGGAATACAATTCCTTATAGTTTTAGGACATATGATTTCCTTTTACAACAAGGATTAGTATGTTTAGGTCTAGTATAAATATAGGTCTCTACTTCATGTTATTCACTACGAAAAAACACTAATCTCTCTGCTTGTAATCAGTTGATTCTATTATTAGTGAAATAGAGTTTGTCTCCGGTTAAGGAGAAGAACTCACCAAAACATATCCTGTGTTATTATCTTTGATTCGAATCATCACAAGCCAAGTTTGATTCTCTACAAGTGGTATCAGAGCATAGGCTAACCGAGATCCTAGTTACAGAGATTCAAAGCAAGATTCAATAAACAAGCAAGGAGGATTCTTATCTGGTTCAGTATAGAAGACTCGGGCTCGTTGGTATTGAAACTTGACGGCTACAGTGTGTTACAATAACCTGCAAAACAAGATACAACGTTTTTCGGGTTAGACAGAGAGATGGAAGCAACACCAAGAAAGTTTGAAGTAGAGAAATTCGATGGGAAAGGGGATTTTGGTCTTTGGAAGTACAAGATGCTATGTCAGCTGGAGATTGTAGGTTTAGGCTCTGTTCTTAAGGAGAAAACTCCTTCCACGGTTGGTGATGAAGGTGAAGAACAGAAGGACATTAAACCAGATTCAAAAGCTCAAGATCGGGAGCTGCGTACAAAGAATCTGATCAGTATGTGTCTATCTGATCTTATTCTACGCAAAGTCATGAATGAGCCAACAGCACTTGATATGTGGAAGGCGTTGGAAGCTGAGTATCAGACAAAGACTCTACCAAATCGAATTTACATGAAGCAGCGATATGCAGGTTTTAGAATGGAAGAACACAAGTCAATTGAGGAGAACTTGGATGTGTTTCTAAAACTTGTAGCTGATCTAACAAGTCTGGATATTAAGATCAGTGATGAAGACCAAGCTATTCAGATTCTAACTAGCTTACCTAAACAATATGAGTCCTTAGTTGATGCTCTCAAATATGGAAGCGGGAAAGAGACTTTAACAGTCCGGGATGTTACAAGCTCAGCTTATTCTAAGGAAGTAGAACTAAGAGAGAAGGGACTTCTTAATAAGTCTAAAGGTAACTCAGAGGGATTGTTTGCTGGAAATAACAGAGGAAGAGCTGAGAAGAAGAACGATAAGACTTGGAGAGCAAGATCAAAGAGTAAGAATAGATCACAATCAAAACCTAAATTCTCTAAGGAATGCTGGACGTGTGGCAAGGAAGGACACTTTAAGAAACAGTGCCCGGAAAGGAAAAATCAAAATTCAGCCAACATAGCAGAAGAGAAGCAGCCTTTAGTATTAGTGGCAAGTCAGCAAGATACTAAAGACGAATGGGTACTTGATTCTGGATGTACGTTTCATATTACTCCAAATAAAAACGTTCTATTCGATCTTAAAGATCTAGAAGGAGGGAAGGTTTTGATGGGGAACAACACAGTTAGTGAGATTAAAGGAATCGGGAAAGTCAGAATTATGAACGATGATGGGTCAAGCGTAATTCTTACTGATGTTAGATATATGCCATCTATGGGCAGAAACCTTATCTCCTATGGCTTATTAGAAAAGATGGGATGCAGATACGAAGGCAGAGACTTCAAGGTGCAGTTTTACAAAGGAGACCAGAAGGTGATTTCTGGAAAATATTGTGATGGATTGTACTACTTACAGGGCACAGTATTGGATGGTGAAGCTGCGGTTGCGAGACCTGACATCGACTTTACGAAGAGATGGCACTCAAGGCTCGGACATATGAGTCTTAAGTGTATGAATATCTTGGTTAAAGAAGGTTACTTAACCAAGAAAGATGTTAAGACACTGGAGTTTTGTGAAGGTTGTGTTTTAGGAAAATCACACAAGTTAAGTTTTCCTAAGGGGAAACACACATCTAAAGAAGTTCTTGAGTACGTCCATTCAGATTTATGGGGTTCACCTTCGGTGGTGGAAAGTCTTGGGGGCTGTTATTACTTTGTTACTTTCATTGACGATTTCTCTAGGAAAGTCTGGATCTATTTCCTAAAATCAAAGGATGAAGTGTTCCAAAACTTCAAGGAATGGAAGTCAAGCGTGGAAACTGAGACAGGAAAGAAGGTGAAGTGTCTTAGGACAGATAATGGTTTAGAGTTTTGCAATACACAGATGGACACCCTGTGTAAGGAAGCAGGAATTAAAAGACACAGAACATGCGTCTACACTCCACAACAAAACGGAGTATCAGAACGCATGAACCGTACTATTATGGAGAAGGTAAGGTGTATGTTGACGGAAGCAGGATTGGAGCAGAAGTTCTGGGCTGAAGCAGCCTCTACAGCCGTATACCTAATTAACCGATCTCCAGGTTCAGCTATCAACTTCAAACTACCAGAGGAGGTGTGGTCTGGAACTAAAACAGACTTAAATCATCTAAGGAAATTTGGTTGCACCGCGTATGTTCATGTTACTCAAGCAAAGACAAGTCCAAGAGCAGTGAAAGGTGTTTTCATGGGATATCCTAAAGGGACTAAAGGCTATCGAGTTTGGTTACCAGAAGAGCTAAGGTGCACAGTCAGCAGGAACGTAATATTCAATGAAGAAGAGATGTTTAAAGACATCAAAGGAGTCAGTGAAAAGAGAAAGAAAGAAAAGAAAGTTACTTTCAATATTGATCTAATTCAAGGACCATCAAACACATCCGAAGATGCTGAGACAGAAAATTCAGTTCAAGGTGGAGTTTCCTCTACAACAGAGAACTCAGGATCCGATTCCTCAAGCTCAGAAGGGGACAAAGATGTGGTGGAAACAGAGAAACTGGACGACTACATTCTTGCTAGAGACAGAGCAAGAAGAAACATAAAGAAACCATCAAGATTTGATGATTCGGATTGTGTGGCCTACGCCTTGGCCACAGCAGAAGAATTGAATATGGATGAACCTAAATCTTATTTAGAAGCCAGAAGGAGTAAAAGCTGGGAGTCTTGGAACGCAGGAATGAAAGAAGAGATGGACTCACTAGAGAAAAATAAAACTTGGAAACTAGTAGAAAAACCTAAGAATAAAAAGGTTATTGGCAGTAAATGGGTTTTCAAGTTAAAAGAAGGCATTCCAGGAGTTGAGAAGCCAAGATACAAAGCGAGACTTGTGGCTAAAGGTTTTTCACAAGTTGAGGGGATTGATTACACAGAGGTGTTTGCACCAGTGGTGAAACACGTATCAATCAGAATCATGCTATCACTCGTTACAAATTTTGATCTGGATTTGGAACAGTTAGATGTGAAAACAGCTTTTCTATACGGAACACTAGACGAGGAAATATATATGGCACAGCCAGAGGGTTTCGTAGAAGAAGGAAAAGAAGATCAGGTGTGTCTCCTGTTAAAATCCCTTTACAGATTAAAACAGTCACCAAGACAATGGAACAGAAGATTTGATGCATTTATGAAGGAACAAGGGTTCGACCGAAGTGCATATGATCCGTGTGTCTACATGAAAGGTTCAGATCTATCTCATATGGTTTATCTCTTGATCTATGTCGATGACATGCTTATAGCATCGAAAGATTCAAAAGAAATAAAAAGAATCAAAGATAGTTTGAAGAGAGAGTTTGAGATGAAGGATCTTGGAGCAGCTTCAAGGATACTTGGAATGGATATTAATAGAGACAGAGAGAAAGGAATTCTAAAGCTATCACAAGGAAAATATCTACAGAAGGTGCTGGAGACTTTTAATATGACCGAAAGCAAAGCTGTGGTTACTCCTATTGGACCACAATTTAAACTTAAAAGTTTGACTCAAGAAGAAGAAGACGTGGAATCTAGATTCATGAACGAAATTCCATACGCATCAGCTGTTGGAAGTTTAATGTATGCGATGGTGGGATCTAGACCAGACTTATGTTTCGCAGTGGGATTAATCAGTCGCTATATGAGCAAGCCAGGGAGACAACACTGGGAAGCAGTTAAATGGGTGTTAAGATACATTAAGGGTGCTCTGGATGCAGATTTAATGTTTACTAAGGGAGACGGATTTATGGTTCAAGGATTCTGTGATGCAGACTATGCAACCGATTTGGATAGGAGAAGATCGGTTACAGGATATGTATTTCAAGTCGGAGGCAACACTATAAGCTGGAGATCAGGTCTCCAACATATTGTTGCACTATCAACAACTGAATCGGAGTATATGGCATTAGCCGAAGCTTTTAAAGAAGCACTATGGCTAAAATGTTTTGTTACAGAGTTGGGGTTTAAACAAGACGATGTGAAGGTATTCTCAGATTCTCAGAGTGCTATACACTTAGCTAAGAATGGAGGTTT